CCCGTTGCGGAGCACAGGCTCCGGACGCGCAGGCTCAGCGGCCATGGCTCACGGGCCCAGCCGCTCCGCGGCATGTGGGATCTTCCCGGTCCGGGGCACGAACCCGTGTCCCCTGCATCGGCAGGCGGACTCTCAATCACTGCGCCACCAGGGAAGCCCTGGTTTACTTTATTTCAGTTCTGTTGTTCTACAAATTTCAGTGGGATTCTTCTTCCATAATCTTGAATGGAAGCCATTTGGGGCTTGCTAGGGACAAATTCATAAAAACCAAAGACTTCCAGAGTCTTTGGAATCAGACAATTTGGAGATCTGACAGACCTGATTTGAATTTCAGCTTCAACATTTATTAGCAATATAAGTTCAGGAAGCCACATAACTTCTCTCGGTCTCAATTTCCTCTGAAACCATGTGATCTGTAGGGATGGTTTGGTGATAGGACTGACTGTGGTTTTAAGTGCATGGTATATAATTATAATCAATACATGATATCTATTTATTATTCATATCTACTCCCAAGCCCCCATGATACAGAGGAGAAAACTGAGGCCATAAGAATTGAGAATTTCAGGGCTTCCCTGGTGGCGCAGTGGTCGAGAGTCCGCCTGCCAATGCAGGGGACACGGGTTCGTGCCCTGGTCCAGGAAGATCCCACATGCCGTGTAGTGGCTAGGCCCGTGAGCCATGGCCGCTGAGTCTGTGCGTCCAGAGCCTGTGTTCCACAACGGGAGAGGCCACAACAGTGAGAGGCCCGTGTACCGCAAAAAAAAAAAAAAAAAATTGAGAATTTCTCAAGGCCATCCCTCCTCCCCAAGGCTAGGAAGCCCAAGCAGGGCTACCATTAAGCATCACCCAGCCTTCATTTGCTCAGGGGACTTTTTTGGTGAAAACCTGCTTGTGTTTGGACTCACACTGTTCCCTAAGGAGGGCTGGAGACTCCATAATGTCCTTGCATTGATCGAAGCTCACTGCAAACTTCAGTTCCAACTGGGCCATTTCCTATTCCAGTAGAAGGGCAAAGATTCAATCAAAGAATCTGGGTGAGAAATGGCATGGAAAGAGTTTTCCCCTACCCCAGTTTATAGGAGTCCTTTTATTTCCTCCTTTCTAGGACATAAAAGAAAAATTGGAAATATGGGTCCCACTGAAATCTTTCATTGTATAAACCCTATATTCTTTAATTATACTGAAATTATTTGCTTAAACAATTCAGTACGATGCAATTCTGGTGAGCTTTAGGTTCAGTTTCACATCTAGACAAAGAGTTATTCCAAACACAGGAATGGGTGAATTTTACAATAAGTAAAACTGATGGATAAGATAAGATAAGATGATAAGTCTCCAGTGAATTTCACAGTACCACGGCAGTGCTTCCTACATACAGCAGACAGGGTTTAAGGAGATTTTATCAAAGTGGGATATAGAAATTGCATGTACTGAAACTTCAACTGGATGATTCATTTTCTGTGGGAATTTAATCAGTGAATAACAAAACAGAGTGAGCTAGAAGTATTTACTGCTCAAAGATACTGAAGATAGCAGGTCAGTAGCAATAATTAAGTAATTGGTTTTCTGGCTAATTAGAAGAAATGGAGAATATATGCCTGCAATTCTTTCCTCACTGAGAGGATTACACCGACTGTCCCTGTGACTACACTCAACTAATCTCTGCCTACAGATTGTTCTTTATTTTAGCTTCAGTTTATCCATGACTCAAGCTCATCTCCACTTTGCCCTCATATAGGAATCTTGCCACATTACCATAACGTTTTTATTCTGAACCTGCTATAAAGGCAATTAGTCATTCATTATAACACAAAAATTCAAATTGGTTGCAATTATGTTTTCTGAATCAAGACTATACCCTTTGATGTGGGTAATTTAAGGTTCTATATTTAAAATGCATTGAATGAATCATAATGGTAAATAAGAAGACCCTTAAACTAGCATTCATATCTCCTGCACATGAAAAATTAAATGAATTCTACCTATGACAGATTTATTTTTGTGGTGGAGAATTTTAAAGAATTGATTTAATTAGTTGTAACTATGCTCAGAAGCATAATTTGAAATACTGTTGAATGAATGGTGAAAGTATTTTCAAGCAGAGAGAAACTCTTAAAATTCCCTTTGTTCATTTTTCAACAAATGTTTATTAAGCGCCCACAGTTTGCACGGCAATGTATGACATAATAATAACCTAACCTGCTATCATTCTATTCTGCTTCTGCTAGTTAATTGAATGAGTTAATCTCTTCAGCTGTCCATTCACAGTATGTGAAGAAAGACTACAGAAATTAAATGAGTGAGTCAGTCTGAAAAGAAACATGGATGTGTGTATTTAGATTTCCTTTTGTTTCATGTGCTAAAAACAGGTTACTAGCCAACTACTCTTTCTATTTCTTCAGGGACCCAGGAAATTTAAAAGAATCTTATCTCACTCAGGCAGTGAACTATACACTTATTTGTGACTTTCTAAGTGTTTATAGAGGTGAGAACAGCAATTTGTAAGATTCTACAGATATGGAAAGGAAAAACAGCCCAGTAAATTTATGCAGATAAGGGGAAATGTATTTTGAGGGACTGTTTCCACTTGAAAAGTTATATTAGACTTAATAACATAGACAAGGTTAGAGCTGGACATTAGAGCTGATCTAGGCCACTGGTTTCCAACCTTTTGCATTAGAGTCACTGGATTTTTTTAAAAAAATATGGATTCTCAGCTCTCATTCCCAGAGATTCTGATTCAGTTGGTCTGGAAGAGGCTGGGAGGGGAGGCAAGCATACATATACTTGTACAGGTTCCCTAGCAGCCAAAGCTGAGACCCACAGACCTAGTCCAGACTCAACAGTTTGGCATGAGGTCTCTGAGCCCTTGAAAGAATAAATATCTTGCCTCAGATCAGCACAGCTTATAACCTTTGGAGCCAGGCCTAGAACCCAAATAGCCAAATTCCTAGTCTGGATCTTTTAACTAAACCAAATCACACCATTTCTACTTCTCTCACACACTGGTTAAGATCTAATTACCAGTTAGTAATAGGCAGGAAGAATAAGACTGCTTATAACCCATGTGACTAACAAGTCCCCTCCTCCTGTGTGCTTCCATTCTTGCTAATAAGTCTTCCAACATTCTTGCTAATAAGTCTTCCAACGACACTGTAATGATTAATATATCTGTTTAGTCCACATTTTAAAATATTTCACGTATTTGAAACTTTTGCACCCATAAAATATATCATTCCCATTTTAGACAAAGAAACCAGATTTACTCTTTGAATCTGAGTCCAGTTGAAGTCTTCATTATAGAGCTTATAGAGCTGAGTACGTGGAAGCACTCTAATGTCTGGCTGGGTTTTCTTAGCCAGCTTCCCTATATGAGAATGCCTTTAGGTTGGCCACTTCCACTGGGTTCTGAAAGCTCCATGCAGGTAGGGCTCCTGTCCAACTTCATCAACTGTCTCCCAGCATCTAGCAAAATGCTCGCCATAGACTCAACACTCAACAGCTAATTGCTGAATGAAAAATCCTTATTACATTTTGTTAACAAATGAGACAGAGTATCCTGAACCAACTTGTGCGGGACAATCTCATATACATAAAAGTACTGGGAAGATGGTTTTATAAAGGAGTAGTTTTACAGTTATTTTATTAGAAGAGCTTTGGTCTGATTTTCCTGACCTAAATTTGTCCTTGCTGTACCATTTGGATTACAGTTGGGCTATCTCACATTAATATTATGTTAAAAGTCCTTCATTCAAATGATACAAATGAACTTATTTATAAAACAGAAACAGACTCACAGATTTCAAAAACATACTTACGGTCACCAAAGGGGAAACGTGGCAGGCGGGGAGGATGAATTAGGAGGATGGGATTAACAGATACACACAGTACTACATATAAGATAGAGAACCAACAAGGACCTACTGTAGAGCACAGGAAACTCTACTCAATATCTTGTAATAACCTATAAGGGAAAAGAATCTGAAAAAGAATATAGATATATAGATAATATACGTATAACTGAATCGCTTTGCTGTACACCTGAAACTAACACAATATTGTAAACCAACTATACTCCAATAAAATTTTTAAAAGTCCTTCATTCAGTATATCTTTTATATGTGTGAAGGCACAACTGACATGCAATAAACATCAATGAAATAAAATTAATACCAAATTTTACTGTCTTTTGGAAAAATATAACCAAATTAACTAATATAATATTCTTCTCTAGCAAGATAAAGAGTGCAGTGTCTTTGGTGTTTCAAAGGGGTGGCACAGTATTGTAGAAAACAGTAATCTAGCTGCAGAAGATGATGACTCAATCGATGGCTATTTAGAACTAGATTTTTATTAAGCAGGTCATTTCAATCCCATCTTTTCAACCCAACCACGCACCCAAATTCCATACATTTGTCTCTATGTAGGGTATTTGCTCTTTACCATAAGGTTACAATTTTTCAGTCTTTTATCTAATTCATGTAGAAATAACACAAAAAACCACTGACATCAGCTAAAACGACGTATGTTCATATGGTAGATATGAATAGCCAAAGAATCAACATAAAAAGTTGACACTAGAAAAACTAACCATGGTAGAAATATTCAACTCCAAACACTGAATATTTAATCTCTGCTATATAACTGAGGTGAACTAGAGGGCTGGAGAGGAAAAGTTATACATTTAAGGGGTTAATCTTAGATCTAACACAAACATTAAAGCCAATGTTAATGGAAGGAACTGGGCTATGAATGAGCCACAATACTAGAAGTTCCTGGCTCAGAGCCAGGTACAAGGCAGAGATTCAGTAAATGCTTTGTTGAATGAAAGAATGGGTGAATGAATGAATGAGTGAGTGCATGAATGAATAGTCCTCTTCTTAGATTTAGAGTGTAATTCTGGGATTTGGAGATTTAGCTTTAAAAGAGGCTGCCTTCCCATTGGCCTTCCTCATTTTCAACATCTTTTACTGGATCACATACAAGATCATTCGGCATGAAGATGTCCACAAGAAATAGATGTGCTCTTCAGACCCTGGGACCTTCTTGCCTAACTGTTGTGCTTGTAAATACACAGTGAAATTGTCTTTATATCACTTTGACAGAGGAGAAGACTGGGGGAGGGGGGAGGGAGGATCATGGGGGTGGGTTTCCTGGCACCTACATGAAAAAAGATAAGTTATCCGGGCAATGAAGGAAAATGTCTGCACAAAATTACGGTGTTGCAGAATCACGTGAGCATAATTCCCTTCAGAGTCTTCAGCATTGCTCTTTCAGATGATGCATTAAATAGACATGATATGCAAAGTCAAGTACTTGAGGGCTATTTGTCTTTTGGTTCGGTTTGGTTTGGTTTGGTTGTGACTAATTCTGGTACTGAAAAGACAGCTTAAACACACGCGTGCGCACACACACACAAAAGGAAAATGCTTACCATCTGACCATAGTGACTAGCCTATAGTGAGATGAGGACCAAACTTTTTCAGGAAAATGCTGCCTCGTTTTTAAAACAAGCCTCCTGAGCTACGTTCTTTACAATGTCCGTAATTAGTGCTTCACCTGAGGAATCCTTTTGTGGGTCATAAATAATTTCTACTTATCGAGAAAACAACAACAAAAAATAAATACCAATCACAAAGAACAAGTTTATACTTTACTGTCCATGTAGGTGTGCATTTTAATACTCTTTTTCTTTCCTAGATGTAATTTGGGGATTTGAATTGTGTATTGTGAAATTGATTTGATCGTATGTCCTCTTAAAAATAAATGCCCATTTTCTTTTAGATCCAAGTTAGCACACTACATTTTTTTTCACTTTGGCTATATTTACGTGCAATTAAGTACTCAAGTGTGACTTAGCTGTCGCAGCTTCTCAGCCACAGTATTTATGGAGATGATGTGTCCTGAACGGTGTAGCTCATATTAGCTTGAACTTCCCATTTCTGCTCTCATTGTAGGTGTAACTATTAGTCCTAATGTCAACTGACCCATGATTTCTACTGTCAATCCAAGTGAATATTGTTTGAAATATCCTTAACTAACTTAAAGAATTTTAAAATTGTACTGTGATTTTCATAACCTGTTGCCTTTTTGGTACCAGAGCTACGTGGTTTGAATCCTGGCTACATGTTTTAAGTAAGAAAAAAAAAAAAAAAGACGTATTTTTGCTTACTCAGATAAAAGACAACCTGTAAAAAATATAATGAAAAAATTAAATTTTACATGTGCTGTAAAAGGGGTTATTAAAAATATTTGTTCAATTTCAATAAAGCTAAGTGTGCCACAGAAGCTATGAGTCTTTCCATTTTTGCATTACAATGTAAATAATTTAGATGACAATGGTAACTTGGATTTTTGTTTCTGGTCTTCCTCATAAACTTGAAGCATTTATATAGCTATTATATTTTTGTTGTAATATAAGAGTAGCTTATAGTATCCCCATGAAGAAAGAAAAAAGTACATTATTCTCATTGCAGAAACAGGGAAATGGAGACATGGAAGTATGAGTAGTCATTGCGAGCAGAATCTAATACTGGATACTTCATATGAGATATAGGAAAGTTCCAAGAGCACTGCATAATCGTAAAATACCAAAGTGAAAAGCAATTTAAAAGACCAATCTGTCCACCTATCCATCCTAATCTTGTCAGGAATGGAGTTCCATGATGAAAAACAATTCTGAGAACCCCAGTGAAATAGAGGTAACTCATCTTAGCCCTTGTAGATTTTCCTTAACTAAAGGTATCCTTCATAAAATTTTCAGGAAGACATGGATTCCTAAGTTGATGTTTATACCCTTTTAAACCAATTCAAATATTGAATCATTTCCATAGAGAAGAATATCACAGAATGGCTAAACACATGAATTTTGGAGATAGAAAGACTAGCTCGGCCACCTATCAAGAGGGTTATCTTGGATAAGTTACCTGATTTTTCTGAGTAGCTCCTATTTTCCAGAGTTTTAAGAGGATGAACCGAGAAAAATGCAAGGAAAGCCATGAGCTTGGTGTCTAACATATCATAAATTCTCAATAACTAACAGATAATAATAAAATTATTATTATTATGAATTGCACTACACTAGGCAAGAAGCTACACAATTCCTAGCTTTGGCAAGATTAGTGCCATGCTTTGTGCCTCTTTCCTAAAACACTATTTCTATCTTACTACTCGCTTCTTTCCAAACAAATAAGGCAAAGACTTTGATTGGTCTCAATTCTCTTCCTCTAAAAGTAAGGCTAAAATGCCTCCCAAAGATAGGCCTGACCCCATAAGCGTCCTAGGAAGAGCCCTGATGCTACATATGGTGGGATGGGCAGCACCTTGGGGGAAAATCCTAAGCTAAACGATCATGTCTAATCAAAGTGTATACCGTATAATTTTCGGAGGCAGGGTGTGGTCCCCACATTAGAAAAATTTTTTAATATTCACCTCTAGAGGAGGAGCTTCAAGATGGCGGAAGAGTAAGACGCAGAGTTCACCTTCCTCTCCACAAACACATCAGAACAACATCTACACGTGGAACAGCTCCTACAGAACACGTACTGAACGCTGGCAGAAGACCTCAGACCTCCCAAAAGGCAAGAAACTCCCCACATACCTGGGTAGGGCAAAAGAAAAAAGAATAAACAGAGACAAAAGAATAGGGACGGGATCTGCACCTCTGAGAGGGAGCTGTGAAGGAGGAAAGGTTTCCACACACTAGAAGCACCTTCGCGGGTGGAGACTGCGGGAGGCGGAGCGGGGAGCTTCGGGTCCGCGGGGGAGAGCGCAGCCACAGGGGTGCAGGGGTCAAAGCAGAGAGATTCCCGCACAGAGGATCGAGGCCGACCGGCACTCACCAGCCCGAGAGGCTTGTCTGCTCATCCGCCGGGGCGGGGCGGGGCAGGGCGGGGCGGGCAGGGTGGGCGGGGCTGGGAGCTGAGGCTCGGGCTTCGGTTCTGAGCGAAGGGAGAGGGCTGGGGTTGGCGGCGTGAACACAGCCTGAAAGCAGCTAGTGCGCCACGGCTAGCCAGGAGGGAGTTCGGGAAAAAGTCTGGAGCTGCCAGAGGCAAGAGACTTTTTTCTTCCCTCTTTGTTTCCTGGTGCGCGACGAGAGGGGATTCTGAGCACCGCGTAAACAAGCTCCAGAGACGGGCGGGAGACGCTAAGGCTGCTGCTGCCACCACCAGGAGGCCTGTGTGCGAGCACAGGTCACTCTCCACACCTCCCCTCCCGGGAGCCTGTGCAGCCCGCCACTGCCAGGGTCCCAGGATCCAGGGACAACTTCCAAGGGAGAACGCATGGCGCGCCTCAGGCTGGTGCAACGTCACGCCGGCCTCTGCCGCCGCAAGCTCGCCCCGCATCCGTAACCCTCCCTCCCCCTGGCCTGAGTGAACCAGAGCCCCCGAATCAGCCTCTCCTTCAACCCCCTCCTATCTGGGTGAAGAACAGACGCCCGACGGTGACCTACATGCAGAGGCAGGGCCAAAACCAAAGCAGAACCCCAGGAGCTGTGCGAACAAAGAAGAGAAAGGGAAATATCTCTGTGAAGCCTCAGGAGCAGTGGATTAAATCCCCACAGTCAACTTAGGTACCCCACATCTATGGAATATGTGAATAGAAAACGAACCATCTGAAAACTGAGGCAGTGGACTTTGGGGGATTTGCTGTATGCAACTGACTAGTTTCTGATATTTATGTTTATCTTAGTATAGTTTTTAGCACTTGTTATCATTGGTGGATTTGGTTTATTGGTTGAGTTGCTCTCTTTTTTGTTCCTTTAAAAATTTTTTACATTAATAATTTTTTTTAATTTTAATCACTTAATTTTATTTTATTTTATTTTTCTTTCTTTCTTTTATTCTCCCTTTTCTTCTGAGCCGTGTTACTGACAGGGTCTTGGTGTTCCGGCCGGGTGTCAGGACTGAACCTCTAAGGTAGGAAAGGCGAGTTCAGGACATTGTACCACAGAGACCTCCCGGCCCCATGTAATATCAATCGGCGAGAACTCTCCTACATATCTCTGTCTCAATGCTAAGACCCAAAGGCGGGGCAAATCCAAAGCTGAACCCCGGCAGCTGGGCAAACAAAGAAGAGAAAGGGAAATCTATCCCAGCAGCCTCAGGAGCAGCGGATTAAATCTCCACAATAAACTTGATGTACCCTGCATCTATGGAATACTTGAATAGACAACGAATCATCCCAAATGAGGAGGTGGACTTTGGGAGCAACGATACATATGTTTTTTTCCCCTTTTTCTCTTTTTGTGAGTGTGTATGCATATACTACTGTGTGTGATTTTGTCTGTATAGCTTTGCTTTTACCATTTGTCCTAGGCTTCTGTCCAGGGTTTTTCTGGGGTTTTTTTAATTACTTTAAAAAATTTTTTTCTTAATAATTATTTTTTACTTTTAATAACTTTATTTTATTTTACTTTATTTTATTTTATTTTATCTTCTTCCTGCCTGCCTTCCTTCCTTCCTTTCTTTCCTTCCTTCCTTCCTCCCTTCCTCTCTCCCTCCCTCCCTCCCTCCCTTCCTTCCTTCCTTTCTATTTGTTCTCCCTTTTATTCTGAGCCATGTGGATGAAAGCCTCTTGGTGCTCCAGCCAGGCATCAGGGCTGTGCCTCTGAGGTGGGAGAGCCAAGTTCAGGACACTGGTCCACAAGAAACCTCCCAGCTCCATGTAATATAGAATGGCAAAAATCTCCCAGAGATCTCCATCTCAATGCCAAGACCCAGCTTCACTCAATGACCAGCAAGCTCCAGTGCTGAACACCCTATGCCAAACAACTAGCAAGACAGGAACACAACCCCATCCATTAGCAGAGATGCTGCCTAAAACCATAATAAGGCCACAGACACCCCAAAACACAACACCAGACGTGCATCTGCCCACCAGAAAGACAATATCCAACCTCATCCATCAGAACACAGGCACTAGTCCCCTCCACCAGGAAGCCTACACAACCCACTGAACCAACCTTACTCACTAGATACAGATACCAAAAACAATGGGAAGTACGAACGTGCAGCCTG